GATCTTTAAATTGTAATTCTAAGTTCTTCTACTCTGAGGGATGAGATTCACTCACTTTTTCTAGCTTACTCAAAGTCATAAAGAGTGAATAGTTTCTTAGTCACTCTTTAGTAATAGGTGATGGACATGTAAATTATTGTTCGAAAGTTATATTTGTGCACTTTAATTATGCTTAATGTTTTATCCTTCTGATATTTATTGAATGATTAAATGCATCTAGTAAAGCTAAAGTACTTTGTATAATCATGGATCACCTATAGATAAGTTAAGTCTTGATGTAGGTAATTTCATTGATTCCCTACAAGTACTTAAGTTAGGTTTTCATAACAATTTTTCAATCTTCATTTACATTTTGCTTTCACTACTGATGGGATAACTTAAACAGTTACGAGATGATTTGTAGAACTTCTTTCTTGTTTATAGACAAGTTAAGTCTCGAAAAAAATAATCCTTGCAAATCTCTATAAAGACATCGGAGCCATACTTTTAATTCACACATTCCACCTTTATCCTCCCATTAATCTGATATTGACTTAGTGTTTAATTGAGCAATCTACAAGGCACAAATATAATGACTGGATAAATAAGTACATGTCCAGATCCTCAAGCTAAAGTGTAACTTTTATATCCATTTAAGTGAATTTTATATTTTGTTTAAAAAATTTTGTCATTTTCACAAACTCAAATCTCAAGGGTTCTATTCACTTAGGTCTCTTCACTTTTGACTTCAAAACACCAATATTAGTTCTTTGTGGATTCGACTCCGGACTTAATTGGATTATAACTACAACTTGATCACTTGTACTTAGGTGTACACATTTCGGATCATGTCAGATAACACATTTTCAAGAAGTGCGTATACCGACGCATCGGCATTGACGTAACTTCTCAGGAATAATATACTAACCCTTTGCCTCAATCACCTTGAGTGAATAGTGTTTGGCCCTCGTGAGGNACATAAGCACATCATTTTGGTGATCTTTAAATTGTAATTCTAAGTTCTTCTACTCTGAGGGATGAGATTCACTCACTTTTTCTAGCTTACTCAAAGTCATAAAGAGTGAATAGTTTCTTAGTCACTCTTTAGTAATAGGTGATGGACATGTAAATTATTGTTCGAAAGTTATATTTGTGCACTTTAATTATGCTTAATGTTTTATCCTTCTGATATTTATTGAATGATTAAATGCATCTAGTAAAGCTAAAGTACTTTGTATAATCATGGATCACCTATAGATAAGTTAAGTCTTGATGTAGGTAATTTCATTGATTCCCTACAAGTACTTAAGTTAGGTTTTCATGACAATTTTTCAATCTTCATTTACATTTTGCTTTCACTACTGATGGGATAACTTAAACAGTTACTAGATGATTTGTAGAACTTCTTGCTTGTTTATAGACAAGTTAAGTCTCGAAAAAAATAATCCTTGCAAATCTCTATAAAGACATCGGAGCCATACTTTTAATTCACACATTCCACCTTTATCCTCCCATTAATCTGATATTGACTTAGTGTTTAATTGAGCAATCTACAAGGCACAAATATAATGACTGGATAAATAAGTACATGTCCATATCCTCAAGCTAAAGTGTAACTTTTATATCCATTTAAGAGAATTTTATATTTTGTTTAAAAAATTTTGTCATCATCACAAACTCAAATCTCAAGGGTTCTATTCACTTAGGTCTCTTCACTTTTGACTTCAAAACACCAATATTAGTTCTTTGTGGATTCGACTCCGGACTTAATTGGATTATAACTACAACTTGATCACTTGTACTTAGGTGTACACATTTCGGATCATGTCAGATAACACATTTTCAAGAAGTGCGTATACCGACGCATCGGCATTGACGTAACTTCTCAGGAATAATATACTAACCCTTTGCCTCAATCACCTTGAGTGAATAGTGTTTGGCCCTCGTGAGGCACCAATCTCACTACGAGTGTTAGTAAACCTTCAAACCCTTTAAGGTAAGAAATTCGTCTAATCCCTCTACAATATCCAATCGATTACAACCTACGTTAATCCCCCCCCCCCCATACATGAGATACTTTTCACGATTTCTAAAAATAATCAATCACCAGAAAAGAATCATAATTTCATAACCTTTCAAAATAATAATTCAAGAAAATATGCAAGAGATCTTCAAGAAATAATTTATATTGCTCATTACCAAAACTAAAGAATGCAAAGTATTTACAAGGCAAATAATTTCATTGAACCAAAGACCTATTGGTACGAAATGCCTTTTACCACGAGTCCTGTCCACCTTAACCACCCCTCCCTACCTTCCTCCTCACCCTCGAAGGATACATAAAGAGAGTGAGAAACATCTATTTTTTAGGTTTACCAAAAATTTTCAAATAAATTCTTAAGAGTGGTTCAGTGTTTTGCCAGCTCTGTAAATAAGAAATCTTAGATTTGATACTTCACACATTCCTTAAAGGTTAGACACGCTTGTTCCTCAATAGGCTCTTAAACTAACTCGAATTATAGTGGCCGACTCAAAGATCAAGAGAATAATACTTTACAGTTTTCAGACGATAGCACATTAACATATTAGTGTAGGATCTAAGAGGTTTCATCCGAGTGGCAAAGTCCCTGGATATGGCATTTTTATGCGTCGAATGTGAATCCCTACTAGGACAAGATTACAGTTCTAAGACAAAAAATTTGGTATTGTATCTCAAAATTTTACAATTGTTTGGAATTTTAATACAAGTTTTGAAGTTTGTTTACAAAAAAAAAAAAAAATGGGGTCAAATCACAATTTTTAAGTTTAAATTATAACTTTTTATGCTAAATTATTACTTTGTAGTAATTTGCAATCGATTCTAAAAATGTTAGAATAGATCGCAAATTACGACAAAGTAATAATTTATATTGATTGTACGGTATTGATTTTTTTTAAGGTGCGGTAGACTTCTGAATCCTGTTAAGTGTAATTTTCCATCATGAGTAATTCTATGGTACTAAAAATTTTTGACACCACATTAAAAGTAACTATTTTTTGAGGTTAAGTTACACTTTTTAAAAATAAAATTACAAATGTGTTATGATCATGAAGTTAATGCACACGGTTATAATTTCACATTTAAAATATATAACTTGATCTCAAAAAATAATAATTTTATCTATAACAATTACAATTTTTATTATTTTTTCAGTTATAACTTATATCTCAAATAGTGTTTATAACTACTCGGATTCGTTTTGGATAAGACTCGATTCAAGATCGACTCGTTTAAAAGTTTGAACAATTTTTTAGTCTCATTTAGAAAATGGGCCTAAAAAACTCGGCTCGTTTATATGTAAAATAATTGAACTACTCAGGCTTGGCTCAAATTCGACTCGTTCTAGGCTCGACTCATTTTATAAATGAGCTAAACTTGAATAATTTTTCACGTTCCTTTAAAAAACAAACTCGACCCGAGCTGGGGTCGATTATCGGCCCTAATTTCAAAATAATATAACTTGTACTCAAAATTATAAATTTAGCAAGGGAAAAATTCAGTCACACCCCTTTCTAATTTATCATATTTTCAAGGACACCTCTATTATTCAAAACATCACCGACACCCTTTTCTAATTTATATTTTAACATCACTGACATTCATTGCCGTTAAACCACCATTTCTAACAAAAAAAATATCCAAAATTTAAAAATGACCACAACATAAATTCCAAACAATATTTCTACAAAAAATTGGATTAAAATTTAAGCCGATTAAAATTCATTTTTCTACATATTAAAATTTGAGATGATTAAAATTTATTTTTTTACATATTAAAATTTGAGCCGATTAAAATTTGATTCAAACTGATTAAATTTTATTTTTTAAAAAGTATTAAAATTTGAGCCTATTAATTTTTTTTTACGTATTAAAATTCGAGCCAATTTGAACCTACCTAAGCTATTATAGCTAATTAAAATTTGCTTGAGTCAATTAAAATATATATTTTTTTTATTAAAATTTGTGTCAATTAAAATTCGATTCAAGTTAATTAAAATTCACTTTTTACGTATTAAAATTTTAGTCAATTAAAATTTATATTTTTTTAGGTATCAAAATTCGAACCGAGTAAAATTCAATGCAAGTTGATTAAAATTTGATTCGAGCCAATTAAAAAAAAAATTAATCGGCTCAAATTTTAATACATAAAAAAAATATAATTTTTAATTGACATGAATTTTAATATGTAAAAAGTAAATTTTAATTAATTCGAATCGAGTTTTAATCTATCCAAATTTTAATACGTAAAAAAATTAAAAAATATAAGAGGTCTTATTGAAAATATGTCTATCTAAAGGAGTGTTGATGAAGTTTTTTCTAAAATATATCATGGATAATTTAGTAAAATTTCATTCTACTTAACATTTTTAATTTGATAGAGGTATTAGTGAAAATTCAAAAAATAGATGACATATCCTTAAAAATATGATAATTAGAAGGGTGTAACTGAAATTTTTCTATTTAGCAATGGATACTGTTATCTTCCTCTGCCATCATTGTCTTCACAAAGGACAAATTGTAGTGACATCATGCCGCACGACTCTATTTAGCTTTGGCAAATCACTTCATTATGCTCTGATAGGTGACCATCACCACTCACAATCTTGACAGACAAGCATGATTCGAGCCGTTAAGCTGACGATCAATACCGAACAACGATTTCTAGTCTCTGACGGCCCAGATCAAATGCTAGAATGTTCTCATTCTCTACACATTCCATATAAATCGCTGCAGCGTTCACCTCGTGATCACTTCACACTCTATATCAAATTTTGCTCTGCACTTCTTCTCTGCTCCACAAGTTTGTAACTATGCTCTATATGCTATGATTAGTGTATATGAATGCTTTTTTATAAAATTTGTTAGCTGTTTGGATCTTTTTCTTCTTCTTTTTTTGGTGATTTTCATGATATTTTTACGATTTGATTCTGATTTACGGTTTGTTTGGTTTGAGATTGATTAGAAAAAGTAATAGATAGCTATGGAAAAGTGTTATCCAACAGTGAGTAAGAATTACCAAAAGGCAATTGAGAAATGCAAGAAGAAGCTCGGAGGATTCATCGCTGAGAAGCACTGTGCTCCGTTGATGCTCCGATTAGCGTAAGTTCTCTCTCTATCTCTCTCAATTTCTCTCTCATGTATGTGTATATGGATGTTGATAGATTCCTACGCATTTGTGTATATATATATATATGTTGCTTCTATCGTAAAACTATTACTGATAATTAGTGTAAGGATTAATTGATGATCTACTATTTATTGCGTTATTAACAGATTCAAAAACGATATTTGTGTGGTTTTCAGAGAGATCTCATCTTCTCTCTCTCTCCCTCTCTCTATTTTGATCTCTCTGTCTCTCACTAGAGTTGTTGGTGAGTAACTAGAGTTGATGTTTTGACTATTCTGATTTGAGAGAATCACCCGATTACTCGATTGTTGTGTGTTATCTATTGCTGCAGATGGCACTCGGCTGGGACTTACGATTTAAAAATCAAAACAGGGGGACCATTTGGGACGATGAAGCACCAAGCTGAGCTTGCTCACGAAGCCAACAACGGACTTGATATTGCTGTGAGGCTATTGGAGCCCATAAAGGAGCAATTTTCAATCCTATCGTATGCAGACTTCTACCAGGTAATTTTTGTATGCTAAATCACTGAACTGGGAGTATTTTTTTTTTTTTGGCTTTTTAATTTATTTATAACCTGCTTATGTCGTTTTGTATTGTGGAATTTTGTCTATCTTTCTACATGTTGAACCTAACAATTGAACTTTTTATGTGTTTGGATCACTTGCAGCTGGCTGGGATTGTTGCTGTTGAAGTTACTAGTGGCCCTAAGATTCCCTTTCACCCCGGGAGACCGATTAGTTTTTACATAAATTTGACTGAAAAAAAATAAATTATAATATAAGTAAGCCAGTAAACAAAATTGGAATCCTTACACAATACGTGCTTTTGAGCATCCATTAAGTGCGGGGGATGCTTTTGCAACGTGTGCTTGAGCACACATAAATCAATATGTAGTGTGACATTAAAAGAATGTAGTTGATGATGTGGCCATGAACTAGAGGCTACTCTAATTATGTCAGGCTTGGACTTTGGATTGGCATGGAATGAATAATTGCTTAGATAGATAAGAGAATTAAAATTTCAGATGTGTTCCTGAATTAACTGAAAAGCATGTACAAAGTTCATGCATCCTTCCAATTTCATGTGCACATATAAGTGCTTGTTTCTGCAAATTCACGAACCATTTTAGAGTTTTTAGCATAGTCATAGCATCTAAAAATGATGGGAAAACATGCTTGTGCCATAAGTGCTCTGACTCCAAAGTCCTAATTTTCTTTGTGTTGATCTAACTCAGTTTAAGTTTAGCTTCATTTAGAGTTTTGTCAATTTGCAATTTTACAGACATAAGAAACCCAGTTCAGACTTGTGCCCTACATGAAGACAAACTATGTCTCGTTTCTTTCAATTGTTGCTAAATTTGTACAGCCTTTTTGTAACGATAGAGATGTTACAATGCAAGACAAATAGGAACAACAACATCCTTAATTTGGCTTGTTTCGTTCAAAATTCGGTTGGCCATAGGTTGATATATTATCAATTTGGTTTCGATTTCTAGAGCCAAGACTTTGTGCATGTAGTCAAGCTTGGGCTGGTCAATCTCTATTTTGATACCTGTATTAGATTATGGTAGTGATTGAGTATATTTGTCTAGAGTCCATATTTATGTTCCCTAGAGTGTGGGTCAAGAACTCTGGGAGCACTGTTGGAAACTTGGATGACTAGTTAGGGTTAAGTAAAGACTTTCTATGCACTTGCATTGTTTGAGTCTTAATAAATTCTTGAGGGTTGTGCTACTTAGTCTATGTTGTTGAATGACATATGCCTCTAGGCAAAGCCTTGCAGAACAGCAGTTGATATTAGGCCAACCAATTTATTTTGAATTATTAAGGTATGAAATCATTAGAAATCAACTCAAATATTACCCATTCATGTTCATTGAAGTCTGGTAGACATAATTAACTTGCTCTTGACTTGTTAATAACTATAGTAACCAAAATGAGTACGTTGGTCTCAGGACAAAAGTGAACTACCTCCAGAAGGCCGCTTGCCTAATGCCACTAAAGGTTACTTCCTTTTTCCTGTCACTATAATCAGATGAAGTAGCTATAAATGTCAGGGTTATATAAGTCATTTAGTGTTTCTACAATCCTGCTATTTTTTCAGGTTCGGACCATCTAAGGGACGTTTTTGGCCGCATGGGCCTCAGTGATAAAGATATTGTTGCTCTATCTGGTGGCCACACTCTGGTAGGTTCAGGAAACTGTGCTGCTGCATGTTTTTTTTAAAACTTCTATGGAATATCAGTATTGATATGGTTAGAGTATGTTATTTCCCATAATGTCGACTAATTTTATGTGTTTGTCGGGGACTATTGAACAGGGACGGTGTCATAAGGAGCGTTCTGGTTTTGAGGGACCTTGGACTACAAATCCTCTCAGCTTTGATAACTCCTTCTTCAAGTGAGTCTAATTTCTTTTTCTGAATATGCTTACCCAAGTTGAAGATGACTGTATCTTCTCTTCGCTTTCTATTTGCAATAAACTACTATCATAATTGTACTTGGTAATTTTGCTCCGAATTGCTCGAGAAATATACAGGGAGCAACCAATTTATTGATTTGATTCTGATTTATTTTGATAGGGAACTCCTAAGTGGAGACAAGGAAGGTCTTATCCAGCTTCCATCAGACAAAGCTCTTCTCGAGGATCCAGTATTCCACCCTCTGGTTGAGAAATATGTTGCAGTATGTAAAACATTTTGAATCATGAAGTTTTATCTATCTCTATCATTGATATGCACACAAAAGATTCTTGACTGAATGATTATTTTGCTCTAGGATGAGGATGCCTTTTTCGAAGACTATGCCGAAGCTCATTTGAAGCTCTTAGAGCTCGGGTGAGTTATTTTCTTTTTCCTTGATTATTTACTTTATATTTTTTGCATTATTGTCATCATTTGGTAATTGATTTGTATTGTATTTGAATTTAGATTTGCGGAGGATTAGCAAGGGCTCGAAGGCCGACTAGTTCTTGCCATCAGGTATCTAGAGACTACTACCATCTTCCCCATATAAGGTTTTGGCGATGGCTGTCATGATTTATATGTCTTGCAATATATAGTAATGTACTTGTCAATAGCTGTCTTTAGCACAGCCAAAATTGATATCCTACATGTATAGTCTATATTTGAACTTTGGGTTGTGACTTTGTGAACTTTATGTACATCATTTGTTCTCTCATCCTTTCCTTCCAATTGAATGTTATAAGACACTTGTTGAGGCAAATTGAAAAGTTCCTCTATTTGTAATGACACGGATCCTTGTTGTACAATGTTGACCATTTTGAGGTGCAAAAAGGGGTGAATAGATTACATGGACAATTTTGTCTTGCCGCATATGTTGTTCAATGAATGTCTAAAATTACATCTATAAAGTATTTTACATGTTTATTAAACAATATGAAACAGAATATATAGATTTCGTATTTTCATCTTACCACATATATTATGGTTCCAAGCCTAAGGAGTATTGTAATTTTGAGTCTCCATCGCAAATCGATTATGTTGATAATCTCATTGTGAAAAACAACAATATGTCAGGAAGGAACTATGGGTACTGGTATCCATGCATAACATATTAGCTCTCTCTCTCTATGTACACGCGTGTGAGTCTAAGAATTTGATTGACTTTACGTCTCCATGGAATAACTTTACTACTAATAAAATTTCTCTACACAAATGAATTCATCTTAAACAATGAGACAACAATTCTTCTCATAAGGTTAGAATATAATGGAAGAACTCTTACATCAGTTGCATCCCTATTATGTGTATGTATACGCTGCAATGGGTGCAATCACTTGCATGTCAGTTTTGCAATTGAGAAACAGATCTGCCATTGTATAATTACTTCCGAGAGCGAGAGAGAGAGGATAAAATATTGTATGGGTTTAGCACTGTCAAATAGTGTGTATAGTCAATAAAAAATTGTCAAATATATTAATGAATGACGGTTTTTGTTGAAAATATACTACTTTTAATTGGTTATGTATATGATTTGACTTTGTTATGTGGTGTGTTAAATACACACAAAAATTTCTACAGAGAGAAAGAGAGGAACTACTCAAAAAATATCTTATTTTCCTTCATTAAATTTTGATGTAAGTATGTAACTATAATGTTGACGGAGGTGTCCCTAGCTAATTACTTAGACATTAAGAAAAGTCGACCATATATTATACTGTACAAAAGGACCCTCCAATATGAACTTAGGAGACCAATTTGTAGCAGCGTTCACAAAAAGGGCCATTCATTAAATTTAGGATAAATTTCATCAATACTCCTTATAAATAGACTTAAATACAATGACGCCCCCTATTTTTTCTAAAACCTTATTGCACTACCTTGTAGTTAATATGTTCACATCATTCACACCCCATGTCATGAACAGTCGTTACGGACACACTAAAAAATGATGGTGTCATCATTAATTATTTTTAAAAATCAATTTTACCCTCTCTTAATCCTCCCCATTTGGATATCTCTCTTTTTGTTTCACCTTATTATCTAACATCTTTCTCTTATTTCATTTGACATCAAGTTGACTTTCTATTTCATCAATTTAAAATTTAATTTTATCAAATTAATACCAAATTGATCTTTAGTTTTATCAAATTAACATTAAATTTTATAATTTTAATAAATTAACACCTTTTTTTTTTGGAGGGGGAAGGGGACTTGAACCCTTGATCTCAAAAAGGCAAAAATTTCACAAGACAAACGAGTACCATTGGACCAAAGGCCCATTGGTTTAATAAATTAACACTTAATTATTATTTAATTCTATCAAGTTAACACCAAATTAACATTCTATTTTATCAATTTATTCCATAAAATTAACACCAAATTAACAATCAATTTAATCATTTTCACATTTAATTTTATCAAGTTGAAATTCAATCCATCAAATTAAGACTCGATTAGCATTAAATTGTATCTTTCTAAAATTCAATTTCATCAAATTGACATAAAGTTTACCTTTAATTTTTTCAATTTAATATTAAATAAATTAACATCAAATTAATGTTCAATTTTATCAAATCAATTAGTGGTTAGATTGTACGTGTTATAATGATCTACGTTGGAAAATGAAGATGTGGCGATACTATAGATTTTTATTTTTTTTAGTTGATAGTTGCTATTTTAACGATCAATTTGTTTGGTGTCTGTTTGTCAGTCACGAGTACTTGTGCCCATAATTCTATATGTGAAGGAGAGGGAGANTAAGTTGATAGTTGTTATTTTAACGATCAATTTGTTTGGTGTCTGTTTGTCAGTCACGAGTACTTGTGCCCATAATTCTATATGTGAAGGAGAGGGAGAGTGGAGATGTGATAGAGACATGACTTTGGTAGTGATGACATTAGTTGTAATTGTAATGATGGAATTAACTAGATTAACTATTAGTTAATGCAATTTATTAAGATCAAGGTGAAATTTGAAATAAATTTAACTCAATCAAGGGTAAATAACTAAATTTAATACATCTTATGTTATATTGGTAAATATATGAATTTGGTAAGGGCATTAAAATAAAATCATCATTTTCGTATTAGGCTTATCTATAGGAAATGTGAATGAAATTTAGCCTTAAATTTATGATAGCAAAGCTATTCCAACTTGTTAGTTGACATCCCTCGTCATACAATTATTTTGTGAGCAATGCTATAGGAACTTTATTTTGGGACCTAATCTAAAGACTTAATCTAGGGGTTTCAATGCAATCTTTATATTAATTGTAAGTTCCAATGTTAGATGAAGCTCACAACTAATCAAATGGTTATACATTATTATGTCCCTAAATTAGGTCATCAAATTAGGTCCAAATAATATTTTTCTTATTTTTTTACACAACAAAATGAAAATCATGTATACTTTATGGAAACAAAGTGACACTAAGATTTCTTTGCATAAGAAAAACTAATCATCGTGTAGTTGTTAAACATTTATCACCTAAGTGGTCAAGATCAACAAATTCTAGTATGTATGACATTTTTGGTAGGTTAGAACGAAGAAGTAATATGTTGAACAAAAAGGACAAAAAAATTGAAAAGAAAAAGAAATCGGCTTATAGGGCAACGNATAATTGCCACACAAATGGAAGAATTTGGATAAGTTGGGATCCCAATGTTTTGGAACTTAACCAAATTGGCAGCACAGACCAGGTAATACATTTAAGCATCACAATTATTGAGAAGAGGATAAACTTCATTGCCTGTCTGCATCTAGGTCACTAGCCATGGCTTCTAACTGATAGACATACCATATTAAAAACTTGTTCTTGAAGGGAAGAACCTTCGGGCACCTTAGTATTGAAGAGACTCAAGCTTTATGCCTCTGAAATTGATTGAATAAGGTCACAAGGAGGTACTACGCATAATTAACATGCCAAAAAATTCATTATTGAAAGTCTTAGGTCGGAATTCCACTATCGTTACTAAAGTAGTAAAGAAAGGAAATAATTAGAATATGCGCAAAAAAAAACTAGAGGTCATAGACCGGCAAATAGGAGCGGTCTATTCTAATAGAATGTGTTTTATGGTGAATAGTTTTTAATAAAGAATGTACCTGTGCCATTTTCTGATTTAATAACTATACAATAAGGAGTGAACTTTGATGATACCTAGAGCAATTCTCAAGTATGAGCTCGGGAGCGGAGGTCAGACGCACAAAACTCATAAAACCAGAGTAAAGCCCAACCCAATCGAAACAACAGCGAAAGTAATAAAGAGATAGTTATTTGTCAACAGAAACCCTAGAGGTAGCAAAGAGTCATAATCGAAGCATAAAACTCTCATCCAGGAAAGATCTCCTCCTAAGATCAAGGAGGATTTCTCAGATAAATGGCGAAGATCTCGGGGCGGATCCCGTAGAATTAGGAAAAGCCCTATAAATACTATGTAACGTCCCCAACAGAGGGGCAAAACCCTAATATCACATCTTATATTCTGTAAACCTTTTGGTATAGTAAAGAGTGAAGGAAGAAGTAAGAATCTTCATTGAATAGTGGATTAGCCGAGCTCCCGAGCTGGTGAACCACTATATTTCTACTGTGTTAATCCCCTAACTCTCCAACAATTCTCAGTATCATTCCCTCGAGTCTAGTAACTCAAATCCCAATAATTCCAATATTGTTTCTTTCATTTACTCGTTATCATAAAATTGCATCACGTTGAAATACGCCATCAGTTTGGCGCCATCTGTGGGAAACGACTGTTCCTATTATAAATAAACTGATCTTTCAGTGATTGATGGTATCAACACAAAACATGAGCCGAAGTCAGACAAATCCACCACGGATGCAAGATCAACAAGAAGCTACTAATAGCAGACAACCTAAGAACGTCCAAGAGACCAATCCACCCGTGGGGGGTCTCCCCATGAATAACGAGATGGATGCCCTTCGCCTCGTCAATCAACGCTTGCTGAAACAAAACGAAGAACTCTTAAAGCTCTTACAACGCCCACAGAAGGCGTGACAGGCTCAAGAAGGCCAGAACAACCCACCACTTAGGAGGCAACCACACCTCGACCCCCTCAAGAAAGTCAACGAAGAAGGGAAAAATAGTCAAACCATGGGGCCAAAACCTCACATACCCCCCAGGAATGGACACAACAAAGAAGTACAAAGTCAGAATGACGAGGGCGAGAAGAACTATTTTTTCCCCTATCAACAGGAAAGGAGAAAACGGTACTGGGAGCAGCGCTTCCAAGGTATCTAGCAGGAACTCAACCATATGAAGGAAGCCGTGAGAGGCAAGGCTCCAGTTATAATGGATGTCTTGGTATAACAGACTGAATCTCCGTTCACCACTAGCATGCTGCATTTTCCCCTCCCTCTGAAATTCAGAGTATCACAGATAGAGATTTTTGATGGAACAAAGGATCTCATAGATCACCTCAACACTTATAAGAACCAGATGGAGTTACATGGATACCAGGATCCAGTGCGCTGCAGAGCCTTTGTCATCACGCTGAAAGGCTTAGCCCTGGCGTGGTTCAATAGGCTCCCCCCTACCTCAATTTCCTCCTTTAAGGAGCTATTCGTATCCTTTGTATCTCACTTCATAGGAGCTTGAACGTATAGAAAGTCGAGTTACCACCAATTGAATGTAAAGCAGGGACCCCAAGAGAACCTCAGATCCTATGTTCAAAGGTTCAACTCTGAATCACTAAAAGTGGATATCCCAGACGAGAAATTTGTCATTACTGCATTCATAGCTGGTTTAGGCGTATAGTCTAAAGACCTGATGTTCTCTATTTCAAAAAATCCCCAGGCCAGCATGGCTGAAGTATTAGCCAAG